AAGGCAGAGATCGAACGGAAACTGGCAGAGAAGGATGAGGAGATGGAGCAGGCCAAGCGCAACCACCTACGGGTGGTGGACTCCCTGCAGACCTCCCTGGATGCAGAGACGCGCAGCCGCAACGAGGCCCTGCGGGTGAAGAAGAAGATGGAGGGCGACCTCAATGAGATGGAGATCCAGCTCAGTCATGCCAACCGCATGGCTGCCGAGGCCCAGAAACAAGTGAAGAGCCTCCAGAGTTTGCTGAAGGTACCCAGAGACTTCCATAAACAGGGTGTCACCTCACCCAGAGAGGGAACTAATTGGATGGCAGAGCACTAGCTCTCTCTCATCACACAGTCATTGTAGAGCTACCTGACAAGTCAACCCTGAGCCACCACAATGGACTTTCTACCCACATCCAATTCTACGTGACAGCCTCGTGAAGGCCAGCCTTCTATCTTATGTTCACTTTGTTGATCCTCAGGACACTCAGATCCAGCTGGACGATGCCGTCCGTGCCAACGACGACCTGAAGGAAAACATTGCCATCGTGGAGCGGCGCAACAACCTGCTGCAGGCCGAGCTGGAGGAGTTGCGGGCTGTGGTGGAGCAGACAGAGCGGTCTCGGAAGCTGGCGGAGCAGGAGCTGATTGAGACCAGCGAGCGGGTGCAGTTGCTGCACTCCCAGGTGAGGAGGTGCCCTGTGCATTCCTGAGCTCGGCGGTGACAGGGGAAGGAGCAGGGGAAGGAGCCCCTCAGAGATGCCCAGGTGAGGAGGTGCCCTGTGCATTTCTGAGCTCAGCGGGTGACAGGGGAAGGAGCCCCTCAGAGATGCCCAGAGTGTTTCCTACTCTGCCATTCTCATCCCAGAACACCAGCCTCATCAACCAGAAGAAGAAGATGGAGTCAGACCTGACCCAGCTCCAGTCTGAGGTGGAAGAGGCAGTGCAGGAGTGTAGGAACGCAGAGGAGAAGGCCAAGAAGGCCATCACAGACGTGAGTCCTCTGCCCTGCCTACCCACCCCAGGCCAGCATCTCCCCAGCCTGCTCAGTGAGCCCATGAGGACCAGAACAGACCACGTGTCCCTTCTCCCGTGCACAGGCCGCCATGATGGCGGAGGAGCTGAAGAAGGAGCAGGACACCAGCGCCCACCTGGAGCGCATGAAGAAGAACATGGAGCAGACCATCAAGGACCTGCAGCACCGGCTGGACGAAGCCGAGCAGATCGCTCTCAAGGGTGGCAAGAAGCAGCTGCAGAAGCTGGAGGCCCGGGTCCGGGAGCTGGAGAACGAACTGGAGGCTGAGCAGAAGCGCAATGCAGAGTCGGTGAAGGGCATGAGGAAGAGCGAGCGGCGCATCAAGGAGCTCACCTACCAGGTTGGGAGAGCACGTCAGGACAGCAATGGCTTTCCTAGCCCACTTCTGGGCTCAGACAGGGCCCTTCTGGGCTGTGCCATCCCTCACTAAGGCCAGGCACCACTTCTCACCAGCACCTCTAGGTGCGCTCTGCAGTTTCTCTGACAGTTTCTGGAGGCAGTTCAACTTGAGCCCAGGGATTTTTGCGTGAATAGAGACTCCTATTTTTCCAAAACTATTTCACTTAACATTTCTCAGGGTTTTTTTTTTTTTTTTGGTATTTCAAAGCACTACAATGAATGTTTCAGAATAGTCCAGAAAATTGTTCTACCCTCTGCCAGCCAGACACAAAGAAATGCCACATGGCACTTTAGGAACAAGAGTCAGTTCATGGGAGAAAACAGATCCCCTGTGGAACTACTGGAACAGCTAAGGGAAGCCAAGGTCTTAGAGCACCCTCTCAGAGTGTCTGAGAACTCCAATTGCACAGCTGACATTGGCTGGTGACTTGCTAGTCTCAGTTTCTGGGAAGAGAATGTTAAGGAGATGGGTAAATTGGTCCATCTAAAGAGTGGATACAGAGGCACAGGGACAAAAGTGCAGTGGCATCCCAGAGCATCAGATGACATGGAGACAGGACTATCTAAGGTCATCGGAGCCACTGGCCTTGCTGCCCACATTCTGGCTTGTTAATTAGAATAATCTAGACAACGATGACACCAGCTTTGCTTTTGCTTTCTTTACCACTCCTCTTCTGGTCACCTTAGAACCACTGGCCGAAAGTGCCCATGCTGCTGCAAGGGGCCCTCCGTTCACCAGATGGAGGCCAGCAGACCCTGTCCCTGCATATGTCCACATTAAGAAGTTCCCTGTGGCTCTGAGAACCTCAGAACCTCTGCCCACTCACAGTACCCCAACACTCATTAATTTGTGGGTCCCCGACTAAAATTCTCTTTGATGTACAAAGAGAGACAGCACCCCTTGACAGCCACTGGAGGGAGAAGCAGCTGAGGCCTGGGGAGCAGAAGAGAACAAGGGAGGAGGAAATGATGATGGCACTTGCTCCTCTCTCCCAAAACTGGCTTTTTCCTCCCATCCACCTGCAGACAGAGGAGGACAAGAAGAACCTGATGCGGCTGCAGGACCTGGTGGACAAGCTGCAGCTGAAGGTGAAGGCGTACAAGCGCCAGGCTGAGGAGGCAGTGAGTTGATAGTTTTCTCTCCCTCTTTTATCAACACACCTACTAGTGAGAGCCAGTATCTGCCACAGTGGGGCCTAGACGGGATTCTGAGGCCAGGCATTTATCCTGCATGTCTAGTATAATCAGAACTGTATCAGGTACCCCAAGTTCAAAACCCAGTGCTATATGAGCCCTGTGTCTGTCCACTCGTTGCTTAGAGCCCACATATGTCAGGCCAAGTGAGGAGTAGGGACAGAACAGGGGCAGGTACCGCTGAGGACAGGAGAGGACCACGAGTTGGAACTGGGACTGGAAGGGAACCAATTAGACACAGAGCAAAAGAAAAGAGATCTGGCTGGGCAGAAATGGTGGGTGCTGTGTGGATAAGCCCTGCTGTGAAGAAATCCCCCAAGTCTGCAGGCATCTATCTGAGGCACAACTGGAATAGATGTAGTGAATCTGGATTCTGAGCAGGTACGCCAGGCAGCATGGGTTGGTTCATTGCAGGCAGTAGGGGGCCGTGAAGAATCTTAAGCACAGAACCAGTTTGAGGAGGGTACAAGACAGGACATCCCTGGGAGGGTTGTTGCAGGAGCTGGGTAAGGAGCGGCTCAGGGACAGGGACCATGAGAATCTGGGAGTCCATGGTTCTTCTCACCCCATCCTCCCATCCCCTTTATCTGCACACAGGAGGAGCAGGCCAACACCAACCTGTCCAAGTTCCGCAAGGTGCAGCACGAACTGGATGAGGCAGAGGAGAGGGCAGACATCGCTGAGTCCCAGGTCAACAAGCTGCGGGCCAAGAGCCGTGACATTGGTGCCAAGGTGGGTTCCCCTGAGGTTTCTAGTCATGCTCTCACCAGGATGTCCCTGCATGCATGATGCTCTGAGCAGCTACATGTATATCCTGCATGCATTTAGATGTGTGGAGTACAGGGGAAAAGGAAACCTGAGGGTCCCACAGACATCTAAACCTGAGAATCCACTCCCCCACTCACAGCAGCCCTAGGTCTGTATTCTAAACCACAAGCAACCCTATCCTAAGACTTCAGTTTAACCCTGAGATAACCCTGTCTTTCCAAGGGTGTTTTCTAAAAGCCACCGAAATCTCTAAGGATTCCTCCCCAGACCATCTTGCCCTTGCCCTCATGCCTCTTATTGCCTTTTCAACAGAAAATGCACGATGAGGAATGACGCTGCCTGCAGAGCCTTGCTGTTGCCAGCCCACAATAAACACGAATACCTACCTGAGTCTGCCTGTTCCCTCTGTCCTTTCTATCTGTCTATCTAAGGTGGGGATTTCGGTGGCCCAGGAGGAGGGTGGCCACAGCCTCTGTATGAGCTGTGAGATCAAAAGCACTCCATATCTGTGGAGGAAGAGAAAAAAAGAGAAGTGAGGTGCCCTGTCCCAGGGAGCAAAGCTATGGTTCCAGCATCGTCAATTGCACAAGAAGTTCAAAAGTAGGAGAAGCAAAAGCCGGGTGCAATGACCCAAGCCTGCATTCTCAGGAGGTAGAAGCAAAAGGCAGCCCAGCTAGAAAGCAAGTTCAAAGCCAACCTGGGCCATGTGAGACCCCACCTCAAAAAAAAAACAGCATCCCCCCTCAAAGAGTAGAAAGAACAAAGGTACTGCAAGGGCAAGCCAGCTCTAGACACTGAGGCATGGAAATTTAGAATGTAGTGTGGAGGTCGAAGCCACCCTCCAATGTTCCACCGCTGAGCTGGCAGAAATTAAAGTTGTCCCGGGCCATGTGTTCCTTCTAAAGTGAGCTTCCCATTGATACCAAAAAGGTCTCTGCACTGCCTAGGATGGGAGTGTGGAAACTGCTGTGGGGGATACTCAGGAGACAGCTGAGACCCCAGTCTACTCAGTTCCTTAGCCGGAGCCCATAGGATGTGTCTTCCCACCGCCAATATCAGTCCTAGCCTCTGTGAACCAGGCCCCAGCAGGAGAACATTCCAGGACTCAAGTACCAGATGATGCTGAACCCAAGTCAGGATGGGGTATAGATGAAACAGGGACAATTCTCACTTTGTATTCCTTCACACAGACATACATTGGTGCATGTTCAGATCCAGAGCTGGTACAAGTCCAACACTCCCCCCCCCCTCCTTCATCCTGAGCTCTTTCGTGGAGTAGACACACAGTTGCTTGGGGGATGGAACTAAGATCTGCTGGAAGGCAAACCCGTGCCCTCTTCTGGGCATTTGGGCTTGGGCGACCCCTATGGCATCTTTTCTCTTACACTCTTATCCCCCGCTTCCTTAGCCCAGCCTTTCTTCCTCTCCTCCAGGACTATGCTCCTCCCACCCCCATCCTCCTGACCATGGCAGTCAACTAGAAAACCTAAGTCCAGGGAAACCCAAAGTCCAGTTGGCTTCTTCCCCGGAGCAGCTGCCAGGCCTGAGGAGGTACCAGAACACACAGATAGGAAGACAGGAAGCAGGAGGCTGGGGAAATCTACTCGAGGGAAGAGTAGTCACCAGAGGAAAGCATGGCACCACACTGCCCCAGGCTCAGGATTAAGGGCACAGCAGGACTTGAGGCCACAGCCTAGAGGGAAAAAGGCATTTCAAGAGAAGAACAAAGCATTGAAGAGAGGGGACAAGAAGTCAGCTGGACTGGAACCACTTAATGGACCACAATGGGTTCCCCCAGCTGGGCAGAGAAGTACTGCCTATAGACTGTCATGGACCACACAGTTCCTCCTTTCCAAGCCTATTTGCCCAGCTGTTACCTCAAAATCTCTGGTGTCAAGTATAGGCTCTGTAGTCAGGAAACACTCAGGAAATGTGTCCTGAGGAAGTGCCAGCCCGGGAAAGTGGATCCACTGGCAAAGGGGTGGGCCCCTGTTTTCGGAGCTTCAAAAGAACTCAAAACAGTATCTAGATCAAGACAGTTCTGTTTCAGTGTCAAGATGTTCTAGACCCAGCTCTGCTACAAATAAGGAGGTCACCTCCCACTAACTAAACCCCCCTTTTCTCCTATATAGAATGAGGGAGTGTGACCAGTTCATATCGAGGAGTTTTTCCTTCAGTGCTGGTATTTTAGGAATTTCTCCTAAGACCTTTGGCGGTCCTCTTCCCTATGGTCTGCCAGTCTGACCCTCACCATGCCACAAGGGGGAGCTCTGCACAAACCCCAGAGAAGGACCTTAGCCCACGGCTGACAAGGTGTGCTGAGCTGTCAGCCTCAGGAAAGCAGCCCAGCGCACAGCAAGGTGGCGCCTTCCTCTGGTGTGTCAGACTTAGGTATGAAGTTTCTTCAATCTGACCCTGGCTCCCTCGCCCCAGGATCTTGGCTCTCCGGATCACTCTTCCCTATGGATCACAACGAACTCTTTGGCTTCCTTACTCAGTATGATTTTCTTTTCTTTTCTTTTTTTGAGACAGGGTTTCTCTGTGGTTTTGGAGCCTGTCCTGGAACTAGCTCTTGTAGACCAGGCTGGTCTCGAACTTACAGAGATCCGCCTGCCCCTGCCTCCCGAGTGCTGGAATTAAAGGCGTGAGCCACCACCGCCCAGCGGTCTCAGTATGATTTTCAAGGAAGAAGAAGACCCACCAGTAGGATTTGAATATTTTAATTTGGGAATGACTTGGAGGCGCAGCAGCCTGCCCAGCCCCCCACAACTCTACCACTTTTCACAGGTCCCCTGGGACTTCTCAAGCACACGTCTCTATAGACATAGAGTAGATGATGGGCACTTGGGAGGTTCAGTGAATCCAAAGATGACAAATCTGGGCTCCGTGGTTCCTGTGTCTGGTCGTGCGAGCCAGGTAAACCTGGAATCACTGCTGGTCCCCTGTGGAGATGTAGCCAGGCAGGGAAGCCATGTATGACTACAGTATCTGGGGCAGAGATAGCAGCATCTCCTCTTGCCGGGCATAGACACTCACCCTCGGTTGTCCTAGGCATCAGCTCAGTTCGGTAGATCTTGAATGCATCATAGGCAAAGACAGAAACCAAGATTATGCCAAAAACCTGTGTGGGAAAAAAAAAGGAATGGGGGTGTCTCAGCAGAGGTTGTCAGACTAGGAGAGGGGGGTCAGGAAGAAGTAAAGGGATGAGGTATAAGCAGATTTAGGCTTTGGTTTGGACACCAGAAGTGGGCCAATACCCCAACCACAAGTCCTGGAGATCATGGCAGGGATGGACTCACAAAAGCAGCAATGGCAGCCCCCTCCCTCGAGGTCACAGCAGCAAAGGAGACCACCAGGAAGATGATGATGGCGCTGACGCAGCGGAGGAAGTCCTGGGGAACCAGAGGCAATGCGGGGAGGGGGTCATTACCAGTGGGTTTCCCAAGCCAGTGAGCTTTTCCAGTCTGATCCTCAGAGAATGAATTGCTGCCCGGGGATACCTCTGGACACAGGTGAAAGACTTTCAAGGGAGTGAGCTCATAGCGCTACACAGAGGATGGGAGCAGATTAATCTAGATCAGCCAGGAGGCAGAGCGGACTGAGCAGGCCTTGGATGTGTGGGAGAACAGGCCTACAGTCTGTATGTCCCCTTGGCAGGGGCACTCTGATGGGCCAAAGCTCACTTTTGAACATAGGCCACAACGTGAGTCAAAACACAGCTTGACTGTGGGGACGGAAGGGAGCCGTGAGACAAGGAAAACTGGGCAACCGGAGAGAAGCAAGAGACCAGGACGGGATGGGAGAGGCAGTGTTCCTCACCAGACAAGGCCAGTTAAGTCTATCGAAGCGCTGGTAGTACTGGGTGGCGTAGAGGAAGAGGAAGGCGAGCGTGATGAAGAACTCTAGCAGCGCTGCTGCCATGTAGGCAGAGATGGAGGCCGTGAAGCAAATGAAGATGACGAAGGTCAGGGCCTGCGGGACCAAGTATGGTGCACTCTCTGAGGAGACCCAGGCACAGATCGGGCCACAGTCACCCGGAGCCCCCTTTTCTCTTGCTACCCAGCCTCACTGAGAGGGAAGAGTTCTCAATGAAGATCCCTGGTGTCAGGGATCATCAAGGGCATCTCCATCCTCCAATCCTGCCATCCCAGGAATCCCAGCAACTCCAGTTGTTTGGCCAATCTGCATATCCCCAGGGGAGTCCCCAGAGCACAGGACCCAGAGCACAGCCAGCTACAGAACCTCTGCCCAAAAAGCTTTCCCTACTCCAGGCTGCGACAGACAACGCAGATGACAGCAGCCAGAAGAAGACAGACTGGAAAGAGGCTCCGTATCAGCACAGTGATCTTGCTCAGCAACCAGGGAAAGCCCAAGAGGAGACGCTCATGGACCACAGCTGACAGACAAAGCGTGGCTGCAGGAACTCTACCCTTTTGGGCACATCAAGAAGTAACCCTCCTAGAAGCTGGCGGGAGACAGTGAGCCTCCTTCCTGGATATCCTCTCCCCACCCCGCACCCACGTCTCACTCCCTCTAACTTCAGTCCTGCAGCAAATGGTACGCGTTGTAATTGTCTCCAGAGAGACGGCAGAAAGACCAGAGTTGAAAAAGGTGTGCCTGGGGCTGGAAGGGGCTGTGAAGGGGTGAGCACAGGAGGCCAGCACAGGTCTGCGGCAGGGATCGGGATGGGAGAGACGGAGGCACCAGGTTGGGGAGGTGGCTGTTACCAGCTCAGTTTCCAGCAGGATGCCTTTGAGGGAAGACAGGAAGTTCTTGTCCACACCGAAGCCCTGGAGCCCTGAAGCTGCTCCTTCCTCTGGGGGCCGCTCCCGGCAATCCCAAGCATTGAACATGTCTGTGAGGCTCACAGGGCACAGACTCCCCCTCACCAGACTCACAACAGCCCCGGAAAAGGAACAGAAATCTGATTAGGGGAGCAGACAGGAGGAAGATGGTGCTTCAAGAGCCTGAAAGTGATGCTGGGCCCTGCTGCGGGACTCTCTGAGAAGGCAGTCCCTAGGGGAGGCTCGGCCAGATGGGCTTCAATCAGCTAGCTGCCCAGAGTGCCTCTGCTCTTGCCTGTAGGGCCCCTAGGAGGCATGGGGAGGGGTGAGGGAGAGGAGGTTAACCCTCCTCTTCCTCCAGCCTAATCTAAGTTGGAGAAAGAGAGAGGGGAGAGGAAGAGATGGGAAAGAAACCAAAGGGGTTGGGGCGGGGGGGTTGGGGGGAATGAGAGAGAGACAGAGGCAGAGCAAGGAGTTCCCCAGTACCCAAAGCCTGAAGACATTCATGCCCCCTCCCATAACCTTAACCCGCTTCCTTGGCTGGGCCTTTCTCTCTTTTCCTTTAAGGGAGGTGGGAACTGGAGCCCAGCCCAGGCACTACCCTGCTGGACCAAGCTGCAACAGCCAGGACCAGAGGACAAAGGCGGATTGTTAGGGAAACAAGGGGGCGCTATGTGCCTACTGCAGTGCCTCAATGGGCTTCTGTCTCTCCCCCATGTTGAGCTGTCTGACCCCCACTCTTACGTTCAGGGATGGACCAGTGAGGGGATGGGTGTTTGCAATGGACACCAGGGCCAGTGACGGAGCGGAGAAAGTACTAGAAAAGGAAAAGGGATCCAGTTGGGGCCATGGATGCCAAAGACAAATGAGACCATTTTGAAATTATGGATATTTATTTGGATAAATCTCTTCACATTTAATAACAGTTTTCTCCTCAGAATCATCCATGTCAAAGTGGTTACACCTGGCTGCCTACAGAGTCAGTATTCACAAGCAAACAAAATGAAGGGCAAAGGGGGAAATGTGGAGAAAGTGCCTGTGCCGAAAGTCAGAGGGAAGGAGGAGTCAGTAGTGTGGCTTCCAGGGTCAGCAGGCCCTTGGAGACGTCTTCTGAGAGGGAAGGCCATGACAGCATCTTCCAGCAGCCACAAACGGAAACTGAGCTGCTCCTTCCCAAAAGTTCTTTCCGAAAGTGCAAAAGTAGGGGGTTTCTCCCCAAGTTCTCCATCTTGTCCCAGGACCCTGGTGCTTCAGCAGAGCTCTGGAGGGCTTGAGAGCCCAGGTACCCTGGCCCGCTTCGGCAAGACTTCAGCCTCAGGTAGGTGGCAAGCGTGACTAAGAGCTTATAAGGGGCCGCACACACACACAAGCTAAGGAGACGCGGTAGAGCTTACGCTCCAGACAGTAGCCATGATGGCAACCTTGCTGTCCGTGGCATGGCCGCCGGTAGAAGACCGTCTGGTTGTGGTAGATTGGTACCGAGTTGCCCTTTTGGTCCATGTGGGAGCCTGTCTGCAGGCTGACACAGTGTGGGCACAGGCAGCGCGCATGGTACAGGTCCTGGGGCACCCGGTTCAAGTCCCTGTCCAACCTGTGGGAAGAGAACTGATGAGTTCCGGAGGGACAGGTGGGCTGGAGAAGTTGGAAGGAGAAAAGGGTGTGGCTGTGGACTTGGCTTCTTAAATCTGGTCTGGCATCCGATACTGTGTCACTTTAAATGCACCCCCTCCTCTCTTGAGATTTATTCTCTCCAACTATAGTATAGGTAGGGGACTAAAGAGTGGCTTTCCCAGTGGCACTGAATGCCAGGCCCTAGCCATAGTAGCTTCTTTCAGAGGCAGAGGAAGGTGAGTAGCCTCCTGCCAGCCTCCGCCAGACCAGCTCTGCATCTCTCTGATAGGCACGAGGCTTCTCAGTAAGGTATTGTATGTTTTTGTGAGGTTTTAAAATTATAATTATTACAAAACTAAAAACTGGCATGTGACCAGTATGGTGGCACATGCCTATAATCCTGGCACTTGAGAGGTGGGGCAAAGAGTGCCATGAGTTTGAGGCTAGCATGTGTCATATAGCGAGCTCCAGGCCATCAGGGCTACTGAATGAGACCCTGTGTCACAAAAACAAACAAACAAAAACCCTCAACAGCCTGACAGCCAAGCATAAACGGATATATAACCAACACTGGCCATTTCCAAAGCACCGGTCTTACTTCCCAGGGAGAGCTGCTTCATGTCCAGATATTGTCCAAGCAGATATTACAAGCCCATTTTGGACATGGGCAAGAATTTTTTTTTTTTTTTGCCTATTCAGAAAGGATTTGTGGCAAAAAAAAAAAAAAAAAAAAAAAAAAAAAAAAAAAACCAGACCAAAACAAAATAAAAGAACCCAACTACTTAAAAGAAGATATAAAAAGTATTGTGTCCAGCAGCCTAACTAACAGGAAGCCCCAATCTGGTAGAACCATTTCCCATACAAGCCCTGGGGAGACTGGGGTCCAGCTACTGCAAATGCTTCCCAAAGCAGGGTCCATAGTAAACACCCTGGGGGTTTTCTTGCCATTTGTTTGTTTTTAACGCTTCTGCAATCAAAGCTCGGGGACACCTGATGGTCTCTTCTGTGCCGACTTTCTCAAGCACACTTGATACCATCACTTTTTTGCTGCGCAGCAGCTTGTGAGACAAGTGTACAGAGCTTGGGTTGGAAATGGTCTGCTAAGAGGGACTCAGGGCTCACTGCTTCTCAGAGAAGAGGATGGTAAGCTGAGCCCACCCCCATAGACACATCTTCCAGGCAGCCTCTGAGACTACTCCAAAGTATGATGAACTGGTATCTTAGACATACTATCAGAGCTGACCCACTCCCTATACCAGAGAACGTCTCTATGCCCCTCAGAGGACAGGCTAGGCAACAGAGACACGTGGGGAATGAGCACAGAACCCTGGGAAGAAACAGACCCGCAGAAATAGGCTTAGGACCCCCTAAAACTCTAATTTGCAATATTTTGTTTCTCTGCCCCAATTTCATATCATGGCACAAGTAGAGAATTATCAGAGAATTAGCATATTTATGTGACACACTATGTAGAAGACCAAGAGAACCATGATTTTGATTAGAGATAAGAAGCCTGAGATCTAGCCACCCACATGCCTCACAGGAGCCGAGTGACAGCATTTGACACAGTGGTGCTTTGTGTCTGCATCACATATGACAGCTAGACACTTATTAACACTTTAGTTAGAAGAATAGAAGTTATGGGAGAGACCAGACAAGAAACAAAATCAACACAAATATGGGTTTTACGTACATTGTTTCGTTTGATCTATATACTAGCCTCTAGAATGTAATCTAGGGAGAAGAAGGAAGGAAGCCAGCCTGAACTTGGAAACATCACCCAACATAATGCAATGAGAATAGAGCTGAGACTCAAATTCAGGCCTGTTGTAACTCCCAACTTCTCCGGTCCTTACAATTAAAAAAGGCTGATAGGTCAAATTGGGTGGAACTTTCCAGGTCCCTCATCCATCCCCTGGAGGACACATGAATACACCCCGGAGGGAAACAGTAGACTCACTCATAGCTCCAAGGAGAGATGGCCCTGGTGTTGAGGGGCCCATCACTGCTGGCCCTGCAGGATTGTGTGGGCTGTTTAAGAGAGACAGAGGCAGTGTTCCACGTCAGCAACTCCGGAGTGGAGTCTTGTTCTTTGCTGGGGCAGCAGCTGGGCCAGTGACTGCAGTCACTCTGGGTGTGCAAACTGGCCGTGTGGGTTCCCACTATCACAGCCAAGAAAGCAGCAACCTAGAAGCAAAGGCCAGTGAGGAAGCTACTCTCAGGTCCCCGTCACACATGAGCCTCCCCTGGCAGCTCCCTGAGACCAGAAACCTGGCCGCTCAGCCTGCCTGCACACTCAGTACCATCCCTGCGCCTTTTCCTCTCAGCCAATCCGCCTCAGACACCGGGGCCACTCACCTGGTACATGCTGGACACGGCTCACTCACTCAGCCACAGGTACTAATCCCGCCTGGCAGGCCTTCTGGAAGCAGGCTGACTGGACCAGTGGAGGTGCCCTGGTTTTATTTTCAGCAAACCTGTTTTGTTTATTCAAATTTATTTCCACTATCTTTTGGAGGGAGTGACCTGAGATTAAAAAAAAAAAAAGAAAACCAAAAAGAAAAAAAAAAAAAGGAAAAAGGAAAAACCACCCAACAATAACATAAGACCTGGAAGTGTTGCCAAAAGGTGTTTAAATGTTACCCTCATGGAAGTTGTAATAGCTGTCATTATCAGCCTGGCAGCCCATTGGGTAAACTGTTCCTTACCACTTTCCGGGCGGGGGTCGTAGTAAGAGCATCTGCAACTCTGTCTCTGTCTCTGTGAACTGGCATCATGGGAATTTCCCTGGTTGGTTTATTACCTCAAATTAAAGAATGTCGTCTGGTCTTCCTTCCAGGGGCACCACTTTCAAGACTTCTGCTGCTTACTCCTGCCTAGGACCTGACCTCCACTGTCCCCCTCTTCTCACCAGCCGTCCCCATCACCTGTCTAAATGAACACTTCCCTCTTCCTTGTCTTTTTTGTCTTTCATCCACTCTGTCCTCAGACCCCTCCTCATTTTAACGACCCCAACTCTTTGAGCACCATCATCTGTCAGCATGAGTTCTCTGCCAGTGTCCACTACTGTCCCCAGTTTCCTTTTGCCCTCTCAGTTTGCCACCCTGTCCCCGACCTCTTCCTGGGATAAGGATGCAGCCGTCACCAGACAGTGCTACCAGAAGCATATGCAGAAGTTTTCTGGTTGGGTGGGCAAGATGGCAGGAAGACGTTGTGGGTGAACGTCCACACTGCACAAATGAGAAAGCGGATCGTGGAGAAAAGAACACCGTGTTACCTAAGACCTAGCGGGAGGTCTCACCCCTGTTCACAGAGCCCCAGGAACACACAGCAAGGACAAGCTGTCACTCTCGGGCCATAAGGGAGCCAACCTACTCAGCCTGTGCATTCTCATGGGCCTTATTGGATAGGTGAGAGTGTGCAAACTCCAGAAAGACAGATTCCCAAGACACAGGTCGGTCACGGTCCAGCCTGCGGGGGAGGACTGTGCAGACACCGGCCATCACTCTTCATGCAGGCCTTTCTCTGTTTGCCCAGGGATCTATGCCCCACCCCAATACACTCATACACATTGTCTCTAGAATAATGTGTACTGATTTGCATGTGCTTTCCCTCAGAAAATACTCCTGAAGTAACCAAGGGATCAGAAAGTAAACAAAGGGAACCAGGAATATTGTGTACCATAAAGAACCACTCTTTCAAACCCTGTCTCGAAAAAAACCAAAAAAAAAAAAAAAAAAAAAAAAGAACCACTCTTTCAGATGCCATAGGACAAAACAGCCCCAAAGGAGAGCTGTCATGACAACAGAGAGCACTCTCAAGAATTGGAAGAAACAGCTTTGGCGACTCTTAGGGCCCTGAAACAGTGGAAGGCACTGAGGAGAAACCACTGGTGGCCAAGGTTAGGACACTTAGGAGGAGCAACACGACCAGGAATATCTTCAGCTGATGCCCATGCCCACCCTTGCCCCGAAGTTCCCACCCTTGCACCAGGGGTTCCGGACGCTGTCTCCCTATATACGCTGCTGGCCTTGTCTTGCTCCTACACACTTGAGTGTGCCCGACATGGATGGTACTGAGCCCAATAGTAAGAGCACATCATCGTATTATGTCCTGATACTAAAACTATGGCAAGAAAAACCATAATCCTCCTATTACAGATGGAGAACGTGAGACCCAACAGAATTTAATAATCTACCCAAGGTTATGCACGTAGAAAGACTGAGCTGCTTTTCAGTTCCAGCCCTCAATAACTCTGAACCTAAGCTCCTGTCTCTTTAAGACAGGAAACCATAACATTTGGCATGAGCCCCTCCTTAGCTGGCAGTGGATGGAGGGGAATGTGTACCTGTTCGCTTGTGTTGGACATGTTTTATTTGCACCTGCCCAAGACCACAGGGCATTCCTGCCCGCTTTGGCGTTCAGCCCTGGTGGCTGGGATCCATTGTTCCAGCTTCCTGTTCCCCAGCCTTTTGTCTGGCACATGGCCTCAGGTGGCTTGTGGTGTTCCCTAGCAACCCTAAGCCCAGAGTAGGGTCCTTTAGCTAGCAGTGCTGTTTCAGAGAGCAGGATTCCTACAGGTCTCCTCCAGCCGCACCCTGGGGAGCAGAGCTTGACCGGCACACAAGGGGGCGCTCTCAGGCACTAAAAATGATCCCTAACTTGTCTCAGCTGCTGACAGTGCAGAATGGAACCGGCCTGGGTGACTGGGACATTGTTCTTCACAAGAGGCATTTGGGGTCTCTCTCTGGCTCTGTAGCTCAGGCCAGAGGAAAGCTCTGGAAGGCAGATGGGATATCCCTCTAAGTACACGGTCTTCCCCGGGGTTGGCTTTCCCCATAGGTGATGACCAAGCTGACCCATGAACCTATTCTCTGAGCCACAGGCCCCCACCCCACCCTGCTTGCTCAGCCTCAGTCCTTATCTCATTAGTAGCTTTGTGGGACTCTTTAGGGTGACTCCCTGCCATGAGAAACATTTTCCAGAGGGTTTCCTCCTGGGGTGACTAGTTTTGGAATCCCTGAGTCATTTCAGCTTCCAGGGAATCCTTGGGGGTGTGGGGGTGGCACTGGGGAGAATCCTGGAGGCGGGAGCGAAGAAAGGTTGGCCCAACATCTGACATAAGGAGTACCCTCCCAACGTGTCCCTACTTGCCTGGGCCTGACCTGGTAGCCAAACAGGGCTGGAGTTTCTACCCCTGTACCCCTGGGAAAAGAGGTAAGCACCTACCAGGAAAGGGCGGGGAGAACGTGATGAGCTTCATCTTTTATCCTTTGCTTGAGAAAGCTCTCGAGGCTTGTGGTGAGTTCGAATACAGCTACTCTTAAGCTTATTAAAAGGGTACTCATGCCCCTACCTGCTACCTTGAAATTTTAGTCTGTTCATGACCTCGGATGCTCCTTCTGCACGTCCTTCCTCATCGGTAAGAGTGTACGTGGTATTGTGTTTGCATCCCTGGGGGGAAAGGCGGCATCGATGTGAGTGACCTTAGAGATACCAAGATTAGTTGACCTGGACCTAAGGTCCTAAGACAGCGCAGCAGCCACAGGACTCAGCTCCTTTTCACTCACCTTCTAAGAAGCTAGGACTGGAGGTACTAGGATATTGAGATCCTCATCTGCCTGCTGCTAAGCAGGTGCTGCTCTTGGCAGTGGGGCATCCCCATCACACTCTCCCAGGGACCTAGCAATGGCAAAGACGGAGACTTCTGGAATGGTGTTCCCACATTCTGATTTGTAGGTAATAACGACCCTCGATGCTAGTCATTTATAGAGATTTATTTTTATTATTTTAATTATTAGTATGAGGGATGGGGGATATGCACATGAATGGAGGTGCCCACAGAAGTCAGAGGTGTGAGATCCCCCTAGAGCTGCAGGTTACAGCTGATGTAGGTACTGGGAATTGAACTCCGGTCCTCAGGAAGAGCAGTATGTGCTCTTGACCACTGAGCCATATCTCCAGCCTGCTAATTGTTTTTTTTTTTTTTTTTAAATACAGTTGTAAACTACAGAACAGTTAAGCTCAGGAGACTACCTTCAAGGAGAACCCAGTTTGTTCTGGGGAACACACGGAGCTAGCAGATGAAGACTGGAAGGACCCGGGAGAAGGCACCTTTCCAAGGAGAACCCAATTCTGCCCTATATTCATAGCCTCTGTGTCCATCCATCCACTTACCAAATATTTATTAAGCGCCCACTACACACCAGGCACTGACATTCTAAGCGTTAGAGATGAAGAGGAGGACAAGACAGACAGCACCTCTTCCTCCTGAGGCTTACAGTTTAGGAGACAGATGAAGGACAACGAAAAAGCTACACTCGGACTATAATAGAGTGCGGTGAAGAAAAGGAAACGGTGTTGTGGCACGGGGGGTGGCACAGAGTTGCTGTGGAGACAGGAGGGGGTGGGAAGGCCACTCTAAGTGGGAACGCGGTTTTGGCATGATGATGGGAAGGGTCTGGAGGAAGGATAGCCTAACCAAACTCCTAGAGGTGGGGATGGGTTTGACACATTTCACAAGCACATAGGACAAAGGGAATGGAAAACTAGGGGTGATGGGGAGAGTGGGGTGAGAGGAGGTGGAACATACGGGTGGGAAAAGGACCCTGCTGGGAGGAGGGAAGAGAAGGAGAGAAGATGGAGGCCTGGGAAGACAGAAAAGAGTTCCTTCCTTACTACTCTTTAAAAGACGGAGCCAGGGCAAACCGTGCCATAAGATGAGAGGAGGCTGCTCTCTGCAAGGTACCAGCCCCTGAGTTTTCCCCTCCATGTGCACCCTGAAGCCAGAACTCTTTCGAGTATGAGTAACTGAATACCTTCAACACTAAAGGAGAGGGCAGAAGAAAGGGTATATGGATCTGGGAAAGGCGCCCACCCCCTCAACTAAGAACATCCCGTTTTCATGAAAACCCTGTCAGAGGGAGGAGAAACCCTTTGAAGAAAAGCAATGTGCCGGGCACTTTCCATCTGTGTTCTTCTCACCAAAGCAAGGGGGAATGAAAACTCCAAAGTAACATAGCTAAAAAGCCAGGACTTACTCCCAATACAGAAGCTGCCCCTTACCTGTATTGTTTCTGAGGCACTGAGAGTCCCGCCCATTGCTCAGATTATCACCTTGCCTGGACCATTGGCATCCTTTCTACGTAGCTTCTGGCCTGCATCTACTTCTCTGTGCCCATCAGAGCACTTATGTCTGGGGACCAAAGTGCCTTGCCCATCTTTGTTTTGTACTGGTGACCCTGGGTAGGGGTCATACTGCGTCACTCCCCAACAGTGCCAAAGCAGCCAAACCAGATCATCTCCCCCAGAACTGGGGTCTGGAGGATAGAAAGTTTTCCCTAGTGAGCACCTCCAGCCAAACTGGAACTGGGGTAGGACAACTCTCACTTCAGACCTACCGAGACACTTTAAGGTTCCTTTTCTTTCTAACGGACTCTGAGTATGTGGGTGCGTTCTGCACTCCAGCCGAGTCCGGAGCCAGCACCATTCATCCTGTGTTCCTCCAGAAACTGTCACCAAGTCATCTCAGT